AAATGTACCATCATAATTAAAAATAAGAGAAAAAGGAGAAAAAAATAAGCAGTTTACACTTTTCATCACTCACAGATTGCAGAGTACCTGTAGGTGGCTTAAAGCAGCTGTTTCTCCTGGTTACCTAACTTTCTTTTTTTTTAAATATAAAGAGGAAAAAAAACACCACCATGAATTAAATGTCAGAGTCTAAATGAAGCCAAGAAACCTTTTCTCAAGTTCTCTAGCTCCTCTGGCCATGTGCATTTATTCTTTCTTAGGGACAGAATCTATTCCAGCCAAAAAAGCAATGATTTAAGCAATATTTAAGCCAGTGTTATGACCTCCTCTCCTACAGGTGCAAACATCTAAATGGAAGACATGACTGCCTCCTGGGATTTTTATCATCTTTCGCTGGAGTGTGTTACCTTGGTGGCAGGGGTGGCAGAAGGAGTCGTACTGCCCAAGTGCTTTAGTAGTTTAAGTAAAGACTCTGACCTGGGACTGAGTGTAGCTGGCATGTAGGACCTGCTCCTCTTCTACTGGCTGGGCTTTCGAGTAGCCATCTGAACTGGGAGGAGACAATGGGATAGAAAATTTCTTCAACTGTCCCAGCTACCTTTGCTAAAACCATTTCTTCGCCTCATTAGCCATATGTAGAAAAGCAGAGTTTTTGTTCCAATTTTTGCTTGTTAGCAAATCTGGGTATTTTTTGAGTGGGAAAATTTCATTTCCAGCAAAAAGCTGTCATGGGGATTTCTCAGGACTAGTACAGAGCTGGGCATGGGATGCCATGAGAGAAAGACATACATACATATACCAACCCGAAATAATTAGTGCTCCAGTGGTTAGGGTGCTCATGCTTAGTGCATTTCTTGCTTTCTGCAGTATCTTTCGTTGTGCAGTTTATGCATGCTAACCATGTGTTATATTAAAGAATATATGCTGTAGTAAAGGTGTGCTAATTAAGTTGACTGTGAGAATCTCTTTCTTTCTGGTCCAGTGAGCAAGAAGATATTTACACAGTTTTGAAGAGCTCCAGCTGCTGAGATGGGGAAACTGGTCAGTTTCTAGAGGGGTTGTGAAGAAGAGCATCTAGTCATGTTCTGTGGAGCTCAAGAGCAACCAATTCCCAAAGTGTGTTCAGAGATTCATAAAATGCAGAAATGTTGAGACTGGAAAGGACCACCGGAGGTACCTGGCCCAACTTTTATTGCGAACAGGGCCTTGGATTGTGTTATCCAGTGGCAATAAAATCAGTTGCTGCCGCTTGTGAGCACATGGTTAAAGGATAATGTACACCTTTGTGATGTATTAATGTTGAGTAGGAATAATCTCCTCTATGCAGCTCTCTCGAATGCTTCATTCTTAATTGCAAGCCCTCCTGCAGGAAGAACGGAAATAATTACAGCCAGTTTGAGTCTGCTTTTCTTTGTGCTGTTGTGTAACAGGAACAGATACTATTCTGCCGGTTCTGTGTTGTTGTCAGTGCTCATTCAAAAATCAAAAGATAGGTGTTTTTGTTTTATCATTATTTTTTAAACTCTTCAATGAGATGATAATTTAGATAGAACGCAGTTCTCTTAGAGCATTTGATTCTTCTTTCCCCCACCCATTCAGGTCAATTATTTCAATTTCTAAGGATGCATCATATGGGTCTTCTCTTTCTTCTCAATCTGTGCTGCATTGATCTTCAAGGATAAGTCAGGAAGAGTAGAGTAAAACAAAAGTAGTAGCAACATTGCTCACTCTTTTTATCCTGTCTTGTTTATAGGTGACAGTGACCGACCCCAAATAAAAGAGTAACTCTTCTGAAAACCTCCTACCTGGTTGAGCATAATGGATATAAAAGATAGAAGACACCGTTCTCTGACGAGGGGCCGGTGCGGAAAGGAATGTCGCTATACAAGTTCTTCACTGGACAGTGAGGACTGCAGAGTACCCACTCAGAAGTCTTACAGCTCAAGTGAGACACTGAAGGCGTATGATCATGACACCAGGATGCACTATGGAAATCGAGTTTCTGACCTGGTTCACAGGGAGTCGGATGAGTTTCCAAGACAAGGTATGTTTAAAGTCGGAACCAGTTTCTTTTACAGTAATCCTTGGTAGACAATCTCTGTTGCCTGTTAAAGTATACTGGTGTTATAAGGAGTTTTAATGAAAGAACTGTAGGAGAATGGTTGCTGTTTTACCATTATTTCAACTGGTTTGTGTTAAATTAGGAACTTCTTTCTCTTCTCAGATTTCTGATACTGTCGGTATTAACTATTTGTAAATGAGGCAAACCAGGATCCACTGTTCAAAACATCTGATAAACACGAACGCTGGTGACCCTTAACCAGGTGTTGTATTTGTCATGGATCTCAGGGTTGCCAGGATTCTAACTTTATATTCTGTTTCCTAGATTCATTTTAGAAATAATGGCATTTTCACTTGCACTTGTCCATCTTTAACAGAGTATCTCTACTGAAAAGATAAATAAACCACTGTTATGGTAAAACCCCATACAACCAACATATATTCTTTATTAATCAGGTGCCTCAGAATTCCTTTCCTGTTCTTAACCGCTGTGTAATTGAAATGTGGGAATGGGAATGCTGTTTCCTCTGACTTCATTTTGTCACTGCTTACCCTTCACCTCAAAAAATCTGACAGGAGGAAACTCATCTAATTACTTTTATAATAGGCTATAACACATTATCGCAGTATCGAGATCCTAGAACTAATATTTGAAAGAACCTGCCCATGTGAACTTGTAAGCAAGGTGAAGTAATCAGTTCTTTTATAAAATGTTCCTCTGTGTAAATACTTGTTGTGTCCAATGAAGTAACGAACTAACAATCTAAATGGTTTTAGTTGAAAAAACTGTGATTATGCCTTTGCACTGTACACACACCTAGTTTTACTCTCATTCAGGTTTTTACTTGTCTCAGTAAATCACAAGTCTGTGTGTTGAAACCAGTAGTGAATGTTGCTTGATAGGAACAGTGTTTAATCATCTGGTCAACTTGACCAAATAGCCTGATTAACTTGTCACTCAGTCAACAATTAGATAAGGTTTTTAAAATAAATTACGTGGTTTAGTTTCAGTTGAAGAATCAGATATGGTTTATATCCAGCAAGATACAGGCAGTTTTGAGGCAGAAATGTGTAGCCCTTTGTGCCCCTTTCTATGGAAGGGGAATTATCTAGTACATCTTTAATTTCTGAAACTGCTATTTTATATATGTGCTTGTTAATGGCTTTATGATAGTTCTCTGCTGCACATTTCCAGTATTTTGACTCAGGAAATTCTAAGTTATCACACTTCTCTGTGGAGATCATTCAATTAAAGGTCATTTTTTATACTGATATCCTGTCATGCAACTTGTTCAAAGCATTCTGCCAGCAGTCAGTGTCTGTCTTCACCTTTAAATCAAAATATCTATTAATTAGCATCGCTAATTAAACCCTTGTCTAATCCCTTATTTCTCTCACATTTGTGTACAGACATTTGGAAGTGTTTGCATTGTGCTTGGTCTATCAAACATCCAGTTCTATTTTCTGAAGGTAATCTCTGTTCTTGTAGGGTCTTTCATTGCTTATAGATATTTACCTAGAGATAACACATCAAACTGCAGCTAGATCATATGAGCTGCTGGAGCCATTTTCACTGTGGTTTGTTCAGCCTTTGTGTACAGGAGTCATCTAAATATTACTTTTCCCTATCTGGATGATTGATGCTTCAGCTCAAGTGCTGCGTGTTAGTTTCCAGGTCATTATTCGACATTTCATGAGGGTGTTCTTTTTCTCTTGATTACTGATTTGACAACTGTTCATCCTCCTCCTGCTCTTAATGTGTTCTTATCTGCCCTCTTTATGAAGGGGAGTGCAAATTGTTGGTAACTGAATTGAAACGCTACAAAGGTGTTTTTTATTATTATTATTATTACTGTTACTAGTTTTTTTCCCTCCGGCTAGTCTGTGTTGTTATATCTAGATTAATAAAGTTTATTTTAGAGAGCCACAGTAAGTTTTTAGTTAAAGAACATGAGCAATAGCTCCTTATTTTTCTGCTTTTCTTAAGTTTAGAAAACACATTTCTTGAGAAAATAAGTCTGTATGATGATTCTTCGTATTTGAAAGCTCGGTATCTTTCTGATTGTGAAGTTCCTCTACTGGCATGATATTTGAGATGCTGTCCAGGTAGATCTAGATTAAAACTTGGTACGTGTTCTCACTTTCTGCATTATTATTATATGGATAAAAGTGTGGTTCATGTAGTAGGAAATACTGTGCGTTACATCTTACACATGCAGTATCCAGCTGCAGAAATCTAGGAATTTATACATGTAAATTTATTCTAAATTTGAGAGGGTGTTTTGATGGGATTAAATTCTGTAGGAAATAAACATGCTTAAAGTAAATAGTCTTTAGAGAACTTTTTATTCTTCTGTTATAAAAAAGTTTGACATATTTTTAAGCAATTGTAGATATTTTCCTCAGTATTTTGTCTCTTCTACTAGTAAAGCTATATGCATTTGACTTATTGAAAAGTATCTGGTTTAACCATGGCACTAGAACTGCGCAAAGCAGTTGGTTTTAGCTGCTGTCTTAGTGGGTTTTGAAAAGACCAAGTTGTACTACTTCCATTTTTGTTTATGACAGTTCAACTCTGAGAACACAACCTAAAAACCTTGTCATCGTTTGCGTGTTTTGAAATGAGCTTTTTCTGCTACTCATTGACAAATGTGCCTACCAAAGAAAAGTTCCTTGGTCGTAGATGTTACTTTCTGGTGTGGTATTTGGAAGGTCTCGTATAAAGGCTTGAAGGGATGACGTGACTCTATATTTACCTGAAGCACCTTAGTATGGCATTACTTGTACTGTGCTTTTTCTAAGATGTTTACCTGTGATTTCTTAAGTAATAAAATTCCTCTTCTAAAATCTGTTTTTAATGTATCAGTAACAATATTTGCACAAAGTGATTCAGAATAGGTTTAGTATTTTTGTGTCAAGCTTATTGCCTGATCCTTTTCAAAACACATGTTCAGTTTCTTGGCTAAAATGAAAGGTCCAATGCATGCTTGAGCTATTAATTTGTTTTAGATTTGCCCTAATATAGATAGAAATGTGTTTGTGATTCAATACCTGCACTGGATGTTCATTAGTCAATTGTTCTGAAAAATATTGTCCTTCAGTGGATCCGAGAGAGCATTCGAACATTACAACTTTTACTGAAAGTTGAGGAGACCTTTTTGAATGCTGTGGTTTAAGATTAATAGAAACTTTTCTACTTTCTGGTAGAATATCTCACAAGCTTGACAATAGTTCTGACACCTCTGAATATTTGGAATATTTTGCAATCTTCTGGCAATATGTGAATTTCTCTGTATGCTATTAAACTGTACCCTTTTTTTTTTTTTTAATAAAAAAGATACCTTCTTTCTGACTTCATATGGTGACATAGTATGGTGAAGGTAGATGTCCTTTAAGGCCAAAAATAAGGATTTTGGAAAACCTTTCTTTAAAGAGGTTGCTTTAAAAGGCAATTTTTCTTTGAGTATACTTTGGAACCAACATGTGCTTAGAAGAACACTCTACTGAGTTGTTAAGAGTTTTAAACTGGGTTTCAAAGGGGTGATTGTAAAGCTTAGTATTCCAGAGTTCCTCACTTGGCATTCATAGCTCATGGATTTTGTATTTCTGCCTGAGCCAAATGCCAGGCTTCAGCTGATGCAAAATTTATTAGCCAATAGTTACACTGAATTGACTGCTTTCTCATTCTCAGGTCAGGTCTGGTTTAGCAGTAAATCTCTGCTGTGAAATGTTAGAACAACTAGAGTGTATGATTGAAGTTATTGAAAGTAAGTCAAAAAACCACAATCATATTAAACTGGTCCCAACAGTCTTATGAAATCTTTTGAATTTTTTTAGCACAGTTCAATTGCTTTGTATATGTCGCAGCATCTCTTTTTGTTTGGCAAGATAATTTCAGTAAAGAACAACAGCCAGTACCTTTCTGTATGTTAGCTCAAATTCCATATACTAAAAAATGTGTGCTTTTTGTGTCCTATTTAACACTATAGACATGTTAACGGGAGCTAGAGAAAAGTAGTGAGAATGATTATAATAAATCCCTTATAATGTCTCTTAAGATTGCTCACCATTTTTATTAACATCAAATATCAAATTAAGTTATCGCAGCAGAATTCTCGGAGAGGGACACTTGGGCAGCGTCATGCGCTCAGGTTTCTTTCACATGAAGTTGTGTCACTATGCCATACTACTCGTCATCTCTTGGGTGTTTCAGGCTGCATCTTTTCTCCATATATATTGAATAGATTTCTTGAAGAAAAAAGAAAAATATCAACAAAACAAAACAAAGGAAAAACCCACAAATAAACAAAAAACCCAAACAAAAACCAAAACCAAAAACAGAACAATCACCAAAGTAACCCAAACCAGTTTGATGAATCTACATTTTAGTTTTTACAGCCTGCTCTGGGGCAGCTCTGATTTCTGAGAAAAGCAAATGTTGTTTTCTCTTCTTGTTCTTCTTCACTTTATAAATGTCACCGGATAGTTTACTGGGACACATTTGAAGATCTGCACTGCAGTAAGAAAATTTCATGAGAGTGATTAAGTTTCTTCAGATTTAAAGTTATTGTGGTCAGATGTTCTGTGTTGTGCTATGTCCAATGTGCTGCTGTGCAGAGGGGTAGCTGCTGTTACACGTTCACAGGCTAACTAGACTTGTCTCACTGCTTGTATTCCCAATAACACCAAGATGAGATTTTGGTCAAACGTGAGTCGTCAAACGTGAGTCATACTCAACTTTTAGGCTCAAATTAGTGTATCCCTTCCAAATTCGACTGAGTTTTACTAATTTTAGTTTTAATACTTCTTTCCAGAACCTGTGACCTTTTGAAAATTACATTTTCTTTATATAGATTTGGATTAAAGATATTAAATAAAACTTTTTCTCATATTCTGGTTAGAGTGGGAGCACATTTTTTTTTTTTTTTTTTTTGTCATGTTAGGTTGTGAGTTGCATTCTACAATATGTTGCTTTCTGGAATA